CGCACATTGCATCATACAGGATCGCAAATCGAGAATCCAGTCGTCATACCCGAGGAGTCTGAGGAGCAGCTCGAGGTGCAGCCGTAGGAAGTGCTCGAAGCCGATGAGGAGGACGTTGAGGAACTTCCGGAGTGCCCCGATCACCGCCCGAGCTCCTTCGAGAGAGGCAAGCCCCGGAGCATTTTCTCCCTGGTTTGTAATTATTAATTAACTGCTTTACTTTAATTGATGCATTACGTTCAGGAGTTGTTTACAACCGTTGCTGCATTATACCTTGTCTACCTTTGTTATACCATATCCTTGTTACCCTGGTATCCGTAGTCGAGTCAATGCTTAGCTGGCTTAGACCGGTAGAAGTCAGGTGATTTCCTGTCACCTGCGAGCTATAGGTGGTTACCTGGATCTGCTTGGATGACTGTGTAGTCATGGTATAACTAAGTGTTAAATGAAGTTGAGACCGGACGGAGACTTACAGAGTTTTGGACTGTAGTGCTTTCCGTCTGTGTCGATTAAGGACCGACCGTTGTTGGGCCTCGAGTCATGTTGAATGCATGCCTTATATTTAGCTGGCCGAATAAAATACCTTTCGACCGTGAAGCTGGGAGATTATTCGGGCGAGTAGATTGCCCGCAGCGCACTGTGCCGGAGCAGGTGTGGTAGGACATGGGGGCGAGATGATAAGACCAAAGTGCAGTCGGTCGGCCCCCGGGTACATGTGGTTCCTAGCAAACTCGAGACTCCTAGATAGTTGACTCGGTGATCAATACCTCACTTTAGCGGGTGAGTGAGGTTTGTGTAAGAAATAAATCACCAGCTGGTTAGGAATCGATTCGAATCGCCATCGCTCCTGGATAGTGAGCACTTGACTTGAGTTACTTCATCGTAGTAATGTTGATGGAACACTTGGACAGTTATAATGAATATGACATTATGGAAGTTGATTAATGATCATGGGTTATCATTATTTGCTTAATCTCATGTTTACTCTAGTATAGGTGTAAATGTAGTCGACAGGTTAATAATAATTAACTTGACAATAATGCTTTTGGAAAGGTTCTTGAAATGCTAAAAATGCTTCTTTTTGCAAATGAGTCAGCTACCCTACTATAAAGCCCTTCATAATCCTTGGTGTCACTTATTTTCGGTTATGTCAGGTAAGTCTAGATGAGTACTTTCTCGTACTCAGGGTTTTATTCCCACTTGTTGTAGATGGGCAGATGTATTACGGCTACTGTATCAACTATCTTTATCCTGCGATGGGTGATGCTTAGGACCATGGGCATGGTCATTCCTTACGTCTTGTCTGATGCTTTTGTTGGAGATGATCATTAGCTGGCACTGTATTTGAACTCCGTGTGAGTGTGTGTGGTTTTGAACAAATGGCTTCCGCTACTTTTATTCGAACTCGTTTTATAATAACTATATTTAAACTCTGATGTATCTGAGATGCAAACTTTTATGTAATATGTGATGGTGACCGCTAAACTTATTACGATCTTGGCTGGGATGTGAGTTGGTTTGAAATCCTTCGGGATTTCACGGACTAACGGGTTATACGGGCTTAAGTTTGCTAAATCGTCTGCTCTGACGGATGATTTTCTTACTTAATTTCGTATAATTGGTCGGTTCTGTTATAGGCCCCTGCCACCAGAGGCCGGATTCTGGAACCCTAGCACCGCACTGCCCTTCGAAATGAGAGACGCGATCACACTCTTCGAGCAGGAGCTCACCAGGCATGATGGCCGTTTGACGACGCCAGAATCTTCTAGGCTTGTGGGGATGATGGGGCGGGACCCGGAGTCCATCTACGACCTCCTATTGGCGACCCCTGAGAACACGGACACAAAGTCCGATTCCGAGGGGAGCTGCCATTTGCTAAGAGAATGCAACATGTTGTGTCTCTCGGAGGATGGGGTGGCACCTGACGGAGGACACAGAGGACGACGCCTATCCGATTCCACGCACCCCGGAGAACAGGCCGGGTATGACCAGGAGCGCCTGGAACGAGCCAGGGCCCGTGAAGCCGATGAGGCCAATGAACGTCGCGACGACGGATGCCCTAGCCCGCAACACCTCGACGCTGAGGGTGCATGGGCATGGGCACGCCGAGTATACGATCAAATCCAACAGGGCAAGAGGCTAGAATGTCGCGGCAGCCGCCATAATCATGCGGATGGCCCCGAACCCTCGACCGACGAAGGAAAGCGCGTCCATCAAGAGTTGCGAGACCTGCTAGAAACTGTTGGCTCAAAGCTCCGCGGAGAGACGACACCCCGAGGCCAGCTTCGTTCACATCTCCTTGGCGCGTAGGCGAGAACCCTCCCCAGCACGTAGCCGCTACGTCGGAAACCTCAATGCCCGACTGGCCTAGAGCGTCAGGCGCCCTAGGCCGAACTAGGCAGGCAAAGATCAACTACACTACGGTGACAGCGACCCGGACAACCATGGCCGACATCCCAGGGTTCGGTAAGCTCGACGCAGCCCAAGCTCGGATGCCTGCGGATCGCATGCGTTCGCAAAAAGGATCCGACAGACACCATTCCCTGCGCGCTTCCGCGCGTCGCCGAATATCGTCAAGTACTCCGGAGACACCAACCCCGCCGTGTGGTTGGAAGACTTCCGCCTCGTCTGTCGAGCAGGCGGGGCGGATGACGATCTCTTCATCATTCAATACTTGCTGCTCTACCTTATAGAAAGTGCCCGAGCATGGCTCGAGCATCTCCCCACGGACAACATCCACTCGTGGGCAGACTTCAAACACATCTTTGTAGGGAACTTTCAGGGCACGTACGTGCTCCCTGAAAATTCTTGGGATCTCAAAGCCTGCAAGCAAAAAGCGGGAGAGACTCTACGCGAGTACATCCACCGCTTTTTCCAAGGAGTGCAATGAGCTTCCCAATATCGTGGATGCGGACGTGATCGGAGCTTTCATTTTCGACACAACCAACGAAGCACTTGTCCACGAGCTCGGACGCTGCAAACCGTGGACGGTTAAATACATTTTCATGATATGACTATTTATTATCATAAATTTAAACTTTTCTCCCATAATTTTACTTAAATTTAAAATAGTTTTGTTTTTGTTTTTGTGTGTGTGCGGGGCGGTTTGACGAAGGTAGCAGTGACATAAAAATTCTACGTACCCAATATATTTAAGAAAACTATGCAGATGTTGATATATACCATGATTAATTGAATAACACTACCACAAAAACAAAACAAAAAAACTAAACAAAGCATCCACAAACTTCTTTTTTTAAACGTTAGAAAGCATCCACAACAGCCGGGTTCCCTGAGGGCGCAACTGTGGACCTGATCTCAAGCAAAGCCAGGCGGCAGGGGGCCCATGCGAAATCACTGTCACCCGCCCCCGTCCCACGTTCGCTCTAGGCTCGTACTAGTAGTACTCCTACCAGCATCTAATCATCTAATCGTGGCATGATTGCTTTCCGACCTCTCGCCAGAGCCAATCCAAGCCGTCCGTCTCCTCACCAAGCAGCCCGGATCCCTCCTCTCCGGCCACCCAAAGCCACCCCGCGGCGGTGCCACCGAAAATCCCCCGATCCCCCAACCCATGCAGCGCAAGCATAACCTCCCCGCAGATCGGCCGCGCTGCTGCCGGAAGCAGATCGGAGCAGCCTCCTCACGGCGACGGCTGCTGCTCGCCTCGCTCGCTACCCCCACCAGATCCACGACGGCTGCTGCTCGCCTCGCTCGCTGCCCCCATCACAGATCCCGGCGCCTCACCTCGCCGCTCAATTCCGCTCCGCCGCGTCGCGATCGATCCATCCATCCGCTCCCAGACGACGGGCACGCGGCGCGGATCGGTAGCCGCCGGGGCTGCTCCGGCGTCGCGAATGGCCGCGCTCGCCGGGGCGACAAGCGGCGCGGATCGTGGAGCTCGCCGGCGTCGTCGGTGGGCGGAGATCGGTGGGGACGGATGGGAACGTGCCCGTTCCGGACTGCCCCTGGGAGTCCGCGTGAATTACGGCATCTGCCATCGCCCCCCTGATCCCGGCCGTCGATCGGGGGCTGGCGTTCCCGTGAATCCCGCGGTGGGCCGGGGGCAGAAGCGGTAACTCGCCGGGCCAGGTAGGAAGTTTTGCTGGGTGTTTGTTGCTTGCTTGCGTTGCGCGTCGCCTGCCGATCTCGCTTATCCTTTCCGTGTTCCGCCCCTTTTTTTTTCACCGGATAATTAAATAAAACAAATAATAAATAAATAAAATAAAAACAGGTTGTTATTAAATGGGGGAAATCCCGGGAATTATTTCTTTTTCCTCCCGGCTGTTTCTCTCTCTACGGGGGGCCGCGGACTTGAGGGGCGCGCATCAAATCGGGCTCAGGGCCGCCGGGCGCGTCCGCTTTATCGGCTCACGTTGGCGCGGCCTCCGTTTCCTCTCCCCTTTCCTTGTCCTCTCTCCCTCTCCCTCCTCCCTCACGGCCTCACCTCTCCAGCCTCCCTCTCGCCCACCTCTTCCACCTCTCCACGCCCCCAGAGGGCCCCAGGCCCACCGCCGACGACCCTCGGCGCGGGCGCAGATCAGCGCGCGCCGTGCCCCGCCCGCCCTGCCTCCGCGACCTCCGACCCTTGGAGCGCCTGCCCGCGTCGCCGGGGCGCTTCGCATCGCCTATTCTCTTTTTGTTCCGCGGCTCCCTCGCCGACCGGTGGCGGGCGGCAGGCTGCTGCCCCGCCCACGCCGTGTCTACATATCCTCAGGGGCTGGGCGCCCTTGCCCTGCCAAACCCGGTGCCGCCTCCGCTTGGAAACCGTGAGTCCTGAGCTCCTGAATCCGTCTCGCCGCCGCCGGCAGGCCGGGCTTCCTTAACCTGACGCACGCGTGGTTCCCGCTGACTCCGTTTGTGTGCCTCTGTGTAGGTTTTCGACGGGCTAGGAGGTCAGACGCGCCCCAGAGTTGGCTTCGCCGCGCGCATGTGATTTGCGGCGGCGGCCGGAGCCTGGTACAGCCGCCGCTGGGAAGACGACGACAACGGCGCCGTGGATGCCTCCGCCGCCGCCGGATCGAAGGGACTATCTGTACCGGGAGGGCCGCAGGCACGACGGCGGCGGCGGCGGGGGCGACCCGCTCCTGCCGCCCGCCCCCACGCCGCCGCGCTGGCGGGACTCGCCGTACCACCCGCCGCCGCCACCGCCCCTGCGGGACCACTCGCGGCCCTCGCCGCGCCGGGCGCCGCCGTCGGCCTCCTCAGGTAGGCCTGCCCCTCGCGAATCCTCAGATCTGATGCCGCCGCCGCCTCTGCGGCCCCCTCCGGCGCCCCTAATTTCCTCCAACCGCTCTGCTATTTCAGAAGGCTACTACCGACAGGGCGGCGGCGCGTACGACCGCTCCTACCCTGATGACCCGCCGCCTGTCTACACGCCGTCGCGCTCTGACCGGTACTGGGCGGAGGACGACGGCGGGGGATACAAGGGTTTCGGTAGGTATGGCGGCGGTGGCCGCAGGGACGGCCGTGACATGAGGGGTTCATACCGGAGGTCCCCATACAGGGGCGGCTACGGAAGTGACTTCTCCAGAAACCATCCAGAGCAGCCCCCTCCGCCACCCCCCAGAAGGTCTCCGTTGAGGTCAGTCGCTGTTCCGATCTGCTATGACCCTCCGGGCAATAGAGTTGACAGGGGGGATAGGGACAACCTCCCACGGGTGACACCATGGCGGAGAAGGGAGAGCAGATCTGAAGCAGCAGATGCTGTTGGCCAAACCACTCGGCTCTCTGCCTCAGTGAAGGAGGCTTCAGCTCAGCCTCTGGCCGTGGCAGGTCCTCACGGGACGGAGGATGAGGCACCAAGGAAGAAGGCTCGCCTCGGATGGGGGCAAGGTTTGGCCAAGTATGAGAAGCAGAAGGTGCAAGGCCCTGCGGATCCTGCTGAAGCTGTTGCTGATGGAAGTCCAGCTGATGGCGAACAGAAGACCGCTTCCCTTGTGCCTCTGCCTGCACCTTCTGTTGCACCTGTACCTCCTGCTGCACCAGCGCCTGAGCCTGCGCCTGCGGCAGCACCACCGGCACCGCCTGCTGCGCCTGTGCTTTTGTCTGCCCCTGTGCGATGCTCATCTCCAGTTACTGCACCACCATATTGTTCCCCAGGTATGCAACCCGTTTTGATTTTTGATCTGTCTCCTTGCTAGCTTGATTCATCTTAATACCCTGTTTCCCCACTGGTTTCATACATAGATAATTCTAATACCCAGTACTTCTTATTTGTGGGCTCAGTTAATCTAGGTTCCATTCTGTTGTTGAGTTAGTTCTAAAATCATAAAGGAACCGAAACAGTTTGTGGATATTTGTATTGAGGTTCACACATTCCCTTGGTTGCCTTGTGTGTCATTTGTCTTACCTGATTGACTGAAAGCATACCTTCCCATGGTCTTCAACAGTAATTCGGAGATCCTTCGATTTTCATTGGTCATGTTGTGCAGTAACCTTCACTCAGCTTTTTTTTTGGTTTTCTTTTGTACCAAAACATTTATGCTTTAGAGATAACCGTTTTGGTCCCTATGGTTAATGACTCTTTCGATCAGCATTCTAGATACTTCATGTGCAGAATGTACCATAGTTGAAAACACTGTGTTTCACATAGTTTATGGTAGCGTAATAACTCTCCTATATCTTGATTGCAGCACCTGAAGATAAATCATGTGAAATGACGCCAAATACGGTCACTAACTCTACTAAAGATGTCTTGGAAGCTGATGATAAAACTTTCAGTAATGAATTTTCCATCAAGTTAGATGAGCTCGGTGATGATCCTGTTAATTCCCTTGCAAACATGCTTGTTGAACTTATCCAACATGATGATTCTTGTTCTGGGGATTCAAATGGCCCGACCAGTACACGTAAGCTGCTCCTACTGAAGGAAAGCATTTCCAAGGAGATTGAAAAGACTGAACTTGAGATTGATTCATTGGAAGGCGAACTTAAATCTGTGAATACTGAGGCTGTAACGACTCTTGAGGGTTCTCCCACAGGGGTGACACATACAGAAAATCTTTCACCTTCCAGTGGGACATCAAAGGTCCCTGGAAGTGTGGAGATCTGTGATGCATCTGATATGATAAAAGTACCGGGGGAGTTCATTGGTTCTCCTAAGGTACCTGTGGGGGATGCTGATGTCAAAGGTGCTGATATGATGGAAATTGAAGCAGCTCCAGTTCGCAATGCAAATACAGTTCCTTCAGAAGAGAGTGCTGTATCTCCTGGAGTCGCTGAGGGTAAGGCCTGTGCAGCTGCTGATCTTAGCTCATTGAAAGCTTCTGAAGAAGCTGGGTCTCAAAATGATATTGACAATGACAGGCTGGAAACTTCTTCGTGCCATGCTAATGCTGATTCCATGAAAATAGAAGTTAGTGATGACCTACCAGTGATGCAATGTACATACCATGATCATAAGTCTGATTTACTCGGTTCTGTCACATCTGCAAATAATGATATAGCCAAAGAAATGAATGAAGTGCTATTTAAATCATTGCCTGCTGATACACCTGGCCTTGAGATGTTGGCATCAAGTCATCTTCTGAGCCAAAGGAAGAGTGATTTGATTGTCAAAGAAAGGCTTGGAGTACGTAAAACCAGGCTGAGGTTGAAACAGCAGATTCTTACAATGAAGTTCAAGGCATATCGTCACTTGTGGAAAGAGGATGTGCGACTACTTTCTGCAAAGAAACAGCGTTCAAAGTCTAATAAGCGCATTGATCAGAGCAACCGAACATCGCAAATTGGATCTCAGAGGCAACGCTCCTCTAACCGCTCGCGATTAACTATGCCTGGTCAGTATTATGTTTTCATTTTATATCACAATTTGTGTTAAACTTCATCTACATTTAAAATGTCGTGTATCACTCCTGCTTCAGCTTTTATAAGTTCTCATACTCATATGTCAATCTCCTGCTCATGGTGTAGATTGTGATGATAGATTGTTTAGTAAATTACCAAGGAAACATATGAGCGTTAGATGAACTAATTAGCTTGTCCTACTTCACATTAAAATGGAGAGTAGTTCATATATCAGATTTTGATAATTTACTTACTACTGCTGTGTATTTGTTGTTTCAGCAGCATGATACTTGCTGGCCTTTTCCCCCAAATAAATTATAGTGAAATAAAACCATGTACTAAAAATCCCTAAACATATTTATTCACCCACGAAGCCAATTGCAATCCAGTGAATAGCAGCTCTAGATATGGGATGTCAAACATCCTGTCCTTCGTGTTGGTTTATCAATGATCAAGTCTTGATTTTTTGGACTATCTATTTCTGTTTCATATGTTAGCATGACCGTGTAAACTTCTTTTTATGTAGTCATGCATTTGATAGCTTTATAACATATATTGATGTGCAAGTCTTTACAAAGTGGCATGTTTATGTCCTGTAGTCTAAGTGTTGACTGAATTTCCATGGTACTGTTATGATAGGCAAAAACTATACAATGCAGGAACCTAAAATGAAGAATTGAACTGTATATCTTTATTTAGTGCTACAATGATAATACTGTGCTCGAAGTTCAATTTTCTGTGTGAACCCAAGCATACTGAATATTTGGTCTTATTTTGTTTGGAACTGTCACTTTTCGTAGATTTCTTCTCTATTTCTGGTATCTTTTTGCTGCCATATTTTATATGAATGGTTATCTGTACCCTAGTTGAAATCCCATGCTTTTGTCCTTCGCTCTATATTGACTTGTTTATTTTTGTTCTATATTGGGCCTGGTGCAAGCGGTAGAGTCTTACTGCCTGTGACCGGAAGGTCCCGGGTTCGAGTCGCGGTCTCCTCGCATTGCACAGGCGAGGGTAAGGCTTGCCACTGACACCCTTCCCCAGACCCCGCACAGAGCGGGAGCTCTCTGCACTGGGTACGCCCCTTTTTATATTGACTTGTTTATTTTTGTTTGCAGCTGGTAATTTAAGTACATTTTCAACTCCGGAAATGTCAGATGTTGCAAGGAAGTTGTTTTCAGAATTCCAAATTAAGCGCTGCAGAAATTACTTGAAAATGCCTGCACTGATTATTGATGAGAAAGAGAAGGAATGCTTGAGGTTTCTGAGCAAGAATGGGCTGGTTGAGGATCCTGTTTTAGTTGAGAAGGAACGGGTGATGATAAATCCGTGGACTCAAGAAGAAAAGGAAATTTTTATGGAGATGCTTGCTAAATTTGGCAAGGATTTCTCCAAAATCTCCAGTTTCATTACACATAAAACTACTGCAGACTGTGTGGAGTTCTACTACAAGCATCATAAATCAGACAGCTTCCGAGAAGTGAAGAAACTGTTGGACCTTCGTCAACAGCAACCCACCAGCAATTATCTTGGAGCGAAATCTGGACAGAAATGGAATCCTGAGTCAAATGCTGCTTCTCTTGATATGCTTGGGGCAGCATCAGTAGTAGCAGCCCATGGCCTTGAATATGCAAACCGGGTGGAGAAAATTTCTGCGAAATCCCTCATCCGGATTTCATATGGGCCCAATGTTCCTTTTGTGGCTAAAAGATCTTCTGATAAGGAGTGCATTGACAATGTGCCTTTGCATGAGAGAGAATCAGTAGCAGCTGATGTACTAGCAGGCATATGTGGCACTCTCTCTCCTGATGGAATGGGCTCATGCATTACTAGTTCTGCTGATCCTGGCCAGAAGATTAGCATGAAAAGAGTGGAGCATGTCTTATCCCAAGAAAATGATAAAATCGTTGATGAGGAAGACACACTCTCTGATCAAGAGTGTGAAGTTGATCCAGTTGATTGGAATGATGATGAGAAGTCAATTTTCATTGAGGCTATGAATAACTACGGAAAGGATTTTGCTCGGATCTCGTCATGTGTGAAGAGCAAGTCATATGAACAGTGCAAAGTGTTCTTTAGTAAGGCTCGGAAATCACTCGGTTTGGATTTGATCCATCAAGGGGCAGCCGATGTTAGTATGCCAGCTAGTGACACCAATGGAGGGAGGAGCGATACTGACGAGGCCTGCGCTGTGGATATGGATTCAGCTATCTGTAGCACACAGTCTTGTTCAAAGATTGTGATAGATGTTTGTCCTACTGAAGGAGCCATTGGAGGGCCTAACTCTGTTATAAAAATCTCTAAGCAGGCAGAAGGAGATATATCAAATGGGTGTGATGTTGATGTTAAAATTGAGGAAGACGAGAAGGAAGCTGATAAAAATTGCAGCATTGTTGATGATAAGAGGTCCAGTGATGGTACTCACCAAGCTGGTCCTATTGACATCAATTGCCCAGAAAGCACAGATAAGCTGCAAGGAACTGATGACGTCGATGACCAAGTAAACATGCATAGTAGTAGTGCCATCAGCTCTTCAACTAAGCATGCAATGGCCACGCACTCGGAAGTGAGATCCAGTTTACATTCTATAGAGGCACTTCAAACAGACAAAGCTGAAGGTACTGGTACTGATCCTTCCCGGGTGGAAGAATGTTCACACCATGCTCTTGATAACACACCAATGAAAACGGGAAATTCTGGTGCCTCAGCTTTCTTAGCTTCAGATAATGGTATCAAGGACAGTGTTCACATCTCAAACATTACTGGTGCTTCCACCGTTAGTCCTGCATTCACTTCAAGTTATCAGCATTCTGTACCAGGAGATATGCCCCTGCTGAAACCAAAGCCGCTGGTTACCCCCCTTACCCCGAAGGATTTAATGCCTGTGCAGTTCAGTTCAGTGCTTCCTGATCCCACTGCATTTCGTTTTGAGGGCATAGCCTCAATAACTACGCCCAACTTTGAGGACAGTGGCAACAGAGTCAGCAGTGCTATAGGGGCTAAAGACATGAGCAAGTACCCAGCTTTTAAAGACCCATCTGGTAATCAGCACACATTGTTTCGTAATATTGATGGTTATATGAATCATCATCTGACAACTGAATTACCAATTTTTTCTGAAAGAACTGCAAGTGGCACTGTGAGTACTTCACAAACCGATCGGTTCACCCAAACAAAATTCCAGAATGGCAGGTCCAGCAGCTTGTGTCTTCCAAACAGTTCTGATGGGATTCAATGGCCTAGAAAACACGAAGAAGTACTGGAAGGCTCTTTGAGGCCTTGCTCTCGCAATACAAGCTCTGAGGGTGATGAGCAACAAAAGCGGCCTGGTGATGTCAAGTTGTTTGGGCAGATTCTCAGCCAGCAGTCGACTTTGCAAAGTTCTGGCTCGTCGTGTAATGGTAGCAAGAGCAAGCCTCCCTCACCAAAGATTGACACATCATCTGTGAGATTGATGAACAATCCAAAGGATCGTGTGGTTTGTTCTTCCAGGCCTGGCATCACTCCACATTTGGGTCTGGAGGAAAGATCAGCGAGGGGCTATGGCCATCTGGATGGAAGCATGACACAACCTGAGCCTCTGCTCGTGATGGCAAAGTGCCAGAGATCCTTGGCCGGTGTACCATTTTACTCGGCTAAGAATGGCACGCTTGGTGTGTTCCCAGATTATCAACAACCTTTAGTGCCGCCACATCAATCAGATCCCAAGCGGCTGGAAAGGTTTTCTGATCCGCAGAAGAGGAATGGTCTGGAACTCATCTCGGGTTTCCAGCAGCCTGGTAGAGTCGCCCGTTTTGGGGGTGCTGGTATCCTCGTTAGCAACGTCTCAGACCCTGTGGCTGCAGCTCTCAAGGCTCAGTATGGTCCAGGTTCTAAGATTATGGGCAGTGACGTGGATCCTTGGAAGGACATAGGAAGCAGGTAGCACCGTTAGCGGTAGCAGCTCTAGTGCTTGTTTTGTTGCTCCTTGTATCATATTTAGTTTTTTGTAACTTAAATGGAATCATCAAATGAGGGAAAGTGAATGGCTTTCCTGCCCATACTATTTGTAGGCTTTGCAGTAGCTGTCGGGTTATATGTTATTTACTGGCATTAACATTTTTACCTTTTCTGCAGCTCCATACCTTTTGGTAGCTTGACATGTCAACAGTGGCACAGTGCTGTAGGTTCACTAGAGGTGACTAGGTGTTTGTCAGCAGGGTTTGATTTTGTCAGTTTATGCAGAAACCTCACAGATCTTTGTAATATGGTAATGCCTAATTCAGTATCCTAGTCTGATGGGTGGAGTTTTGGTTGAGATTTCTCCTTGGCCGTTGGGTCATCTTCTGTTTTTTCCTATAACATTTCTACGGTTTCATCACCTGTGCGGCTGTGCCCAGATGCAGGGGTGCGCTACTCCTCTCCTTTCATGCTGAAGCTGAACAACTGTGCCATCAAAATCTGGAGCTGCTAATCTGCTATTGCAATTCTCCTTGTTACTTCCACATTTGCAGTGCTGAAAGGACATGGACACATCGTTCTGGACTTCTGGTTTTTCTTGCTTGGACTCCATTGTCTGTGTTGCCTGGTCATCGTGCCCTCGAAGTGTGTGATTTGAATAGTGCTCGCCGGAAGAACCCCCCATAGCTTTTGACTCTGCTGCACGTGAATTTCTGGTTGGAGCTGGATTTCCTAGCGGCGCCTGCGGATCGGGATCGCTTTTGGTTTCACGGGCTTCTTTTGGCGCCGGCTCTTTCCGCAGCGTGTAGGGTTGGACGGTTGGTGTTGGTGGTCCTGGTCCAGCAGCAGCTACGCCAGCCATGACCTTGATGCTTTGTTCGCTTCGATCTCATCGTGTCAGCTGAAGATGATAAACGGCCGCTGTAGCCTGTAGCGAAAACTTGAAAAATCCCTTTGTTTTGTTTTTTTTTCTGAAAAATGATCTGCCCTTCTTGTTTTGTTTTCATCTCCTCTCTCCTTTCCGCATGTATTTTTCGTCCATAATAGCTCTGAGTGTACAAGGCCACGCCTTGCCTTGGGCCTCTTCCCATGGACGGCAGACAACCATCCATTTCTTAATCGCTGGCTAGCTTCCGGTCAATCTATTGCTTGTCAATGATCCAATGATTGTGCAGTCATTTGCTTGCGACCTGCGGGAAGTCTTAAGTGGGTGGTCGCTTGGCCAAGTTGTAGATGTTTCTTTACTCTTCTAATTAAAATACGGTAAAATTTGTCGATGTCCTTCTAAAAATCCTAACATCACCTTGGTTACCCTCCGTCTATGGTGGTTCCCAATAAACTCAATCGCTAGTTATACCCATCATCCATCATGATCCATACAATGTTCTCAATCGATAGCTATACCCACCATCCATTGCTCTGGCAACTTTTTTGCCATCACACTAGACTATTATACTTAGTAAAACCGCCACTTTAAATTTGTTTTCGTCAGAACATTGAACCCGCCTACTCAAACCCTAACTTGGCGGGTCGAACCACTTATGTGGAAGTTTTAATGGTTACACATGAAGGGACTTGAGGTTGAGGGGAAGCAGGAGGAAGCCACAAGAAGGCTCATGACAACAAAGGAAGAACACAAATGTCTTACGTGCCTTTTGTTTAATTCACACACATAATAAGGATCATGATAAAGCACGACAAAACCACAAGACGGCTCAAGGAGTAAACAAATATCAACCTTGTCCAGCAACATAGAAAATATTAATATGTATAACATTGAATACATATTATTAGATTAATTATATAATATGTTTTAAAATAAGTCTATTTAGAGATATAAATACTGATACTATTTTTATAAATATAAATCTAGTTAATTTTAAGACTGATGATGGTGATGGAGTACTTGAAGAGCGAGAAATACATTCTATGCAACCGGAAGGAGTACGCCTTTGGTAGACCGTTTGCGTAGAGCAGAAAATACGCAACTAGCACGTGCACAAACGCACGCAGCACACTCGGCCCTTGCATTCTCCCCGCGCATCCCTGCTAGTAAAACCCTAGCCCATCAGGGCAGCGACCTTCTAGAACCTTCTCCAATGGCGCTACTCCGAGCTCTCCGGCGAGCCCTTCCGGCGCTCTCCTCGCCGGCGGCGGTTCTCCCCCGTCGCGCCCCGCATCCACTTCCTCCTCCCCCCGCTCCTCTTCGGTTCCTGGATCCGATCGGGCTCCGCCCCTTCTCCGCCGGCGCCGCCGTCACCGCCTCGCAGGCGCCGTCCATGGGGGCCACCCTCTTCGCCGGGCTCATGGACACCCGGTTCCCGAAGCGCCGGCCAGGCTTCGCCAACCGCCGGAAGAGGGCCAGCCTGCGCCCCAAAGGTGTGGAGGATTTCTCCACCCTTTCGTTTCTAGCTGTCGAGATGCTTCGATCTGGCTATTTTTGCATTTATGTTGTCCCATTCGCAGCTCGATTGAAGTGTAGCTGTGTTCTGTAGTTTATTTTCAGAGTTTCTGTGAGTTTGATGGGTTAAGCGTAGTATTTAGAAGAATTGTTCGTCTGTTTTTTCAATTGTCTAACTAATGTTCATGATGTGTCGTCCGCAGGTCCATACTACTGGGTGAAGTGCAAGCCTGACGAGCCTATTCCAGCTAGCCAGCCGAACCAAGGGAGCGTGCGAGGGAGGAAGGAGAAGAAGCGGATCAAGCAGCGCAAGGACTTTATCATGGTGAATACACTTTGCATTCTCTATAGCCATTACTTTTCTGTCGAGCTTCCTGCTACGATACTCTGTTTTATTCTATCTAAGCCTACCTTGAGGTTCCTTATGCTGGAAGGGAAAGACATTTTTGACCAATAAAATCTTGAGAGTTCATGGTAGACTGCCTAGCAGTCCCAAGTGTCACCATGAAATGGAACTACATATAACTCTATATGTCACTCAGTTCTTTCCAGCGGTGCTCTGCAGAGTTTAAAATCAACCTTCTATTGGTTCACTGTTTTATAATCTGTTCCTTTTCCTGGACCCCAGGCAAGTGAATGACATAATCTAAGTATGGCATAGAAATACATTGGTAAACTGAAGTATGGATCTAAACAAGTCAGTCGATATGCCTGAGTTGTGTTACCTGGGTCTGAGCTCTATATTTCTAGTTAGAGTTGATGTATCGCCCTTAGTTTCTAATCAAGTGCTTAAATGCATTCTTACTCGTACAGGCTGAGAAGAAGAAGCGCAGAGCACAGTATTCTGCTGCTGTTAAGAGAAAGGAGGCAGAACGAACAGAAAGGAAGATGGCTGCTGTGGCAAGAGAGCGGGCATGGGCAGAAAGGTTGATAGAGCTAAAACAACTTGAGGAAGAAAAGAAAGCTGCAATGGCATAAGGGGCTGATCTGGAAAATGGCAAGGCGTCTAACTTGTTTCTGCTGCTCTATTTTCTCCCCCTTTTTTCCACATAGTCTAGAATGTCATAATTCTTGTGGTGGAAGACTAGTTGTACCACTTCTTTGAATAGTAATATCAAATGCTGGAATTGGTTTTGATACTATTTTCATAAGTCCATGTTTGGAGTTTGTTTTCTTTGATGTATTTAGAATAAGTGATGTGATGGTTTGTGTGCTGGAGACCTGGAATGACCATTGTCTGCAACATATGGTTTTGGTACACTTATGCCATGATACAGAATTTGAAGCTACTAATGCTTGCTAATATATTGATCTTCCGAACTACCTCTGTCATCTGTTCCATCAGTTTTGAACTTTTGATGTATTGGATACAATTTTACATCGGATTGCAAAATATCTTAATGATAGTTGCGATTCTAGAAAAAGACATGTATGAACTTGATGTAGATTGGTATTCGGTATTCCACTGTCTCCAGTCATCCCAAGTGGCACTCTTCATTGTATCTCAGTTCCTGTCTGCATTACTCTTGTCCCACCTCTCCAAAATGTATCTCCTTGACAATTTTGGTTCATGCTTGCGAGTGGTTGCTACATAATGATCCATGCCCTTTGCATGGTTTGACCTCCTCAACTGGAAGATTGCTCCTTTTACATCCATGAAAGCCATAGCCTATCAAGAGGTGGGGGTGGTCAGCAACATGGTCTGCCCTGGCTGCTTCCAACCAAGTCTATAAACTACTATCACTACTATACCTGTGATGGCCTCAATACAGCGTTTCATGATGGATCCTCAAGGGTTCTACTGTTCTTGGCATCTTTGAAACGGTTAGTTTCAATCAAATACAAACTTTTTAAATCTTATTGAGTGGTTTTCGATACTTTGAACTTGAAGATAACAGTTTACTAGAAATAAGAAGTTTCAGCTGGGTTCAGGCTCCTACTGCTAAATCATTCTCTATTGGGGTCACATGGGTTCTGCGTTGACTATTCTTTTTTCTTGAACAACACAGGAGATCTGCATGTCATTCATTTCATTAAGAGAGGAAAAAGGAAAACTTTACATAAACGGGATGGCTAGAAAAACCCTTCCAAACACTAGTTTCTTGCTAATGATGTGTTCCAGAATTCGCAATGGATAAGAACTGTACTTTATATGTCCAGTTTGGAACCCTAGGACACTAGGTACACCCCATTGGACAAGTCATTCTTTCCAGCAGTTTCCTTGCTAGACTCTTCTAAAATGACATGGGTCACAGGATACTTGGCTTTCAAAACACAGATTATTTCAGAACTGGAGACACATCTGGTCCAATAAGCCCTTGGCACCTTTTTGAGATTCGCACTTTGTGATTGGGGTTGTGTTATTCCGATTGAAATCAAATTGCTGTACCATATCTGATACCAATTTTGCGTGCAATAAAAGGTCAATGTGAATATATTCTATGACAATCAATACCAATAAAAGATGATCACCGTGACTGATTATGCTTGCATGAGATTCTTTTTTTGTTTGTGTGTTTTTTTTATAATGTGCCAAAAATTGTTTATTGCTGGAATTCCTGTGAATATGTTTCCGAAACATTGCTTATCTGTGTTCAAATTCGGGCAATACTGCACCAGTGAAAAGTGGAAACTGTTGTAGATCAATTACCTGGAGTTATAAATGAACAGAAATGAGCTTTTGGAGACATATCTAGTTACAGTTAGTACTTGGGAGCAGTTAGTAGTTATGCTGTGGAATGTACAGCAGTTTGACTCAAATGGAAATTATTTGCCTGTTTCTTACATCTTTCATGAACTCCGCCTATGTTGTCTCAACATAGCAGGTCCCAAGCCCTGATAAAGGAGGAGGGCTGTGATAGGTGTGGCGAGCCAACGTTAAACCTAGCCATTCTAATGGAGATGAAACCCGAAAGAAAACCGTTGGGACGTAACCCTCTTAGCGACGCGCCATATCGGAACCCGGGTATGGTGTTAAATGAGCAAGGGTCGGGTCGTTACCCCCGTGACGCGCCATGTCGCGATCTAGGCACGGTGTCAAGTGAGCAAGGATCGAGTCGTCGCATCCTTAGTGGCGCGCTACATCGGCGCCCGGGTGTAGTGAAAAATGAGCAAGGGTCTTCACATCTGAGTCGACGGGTGCGAAGGGTAAGGAAGCTAGTCGAACCAACTAGGAACCGTTTAGGTAGTTGGAATGTAGGGTCGCTTACAGGTAAGTTAAGAGAATTAGTTCATACCGCAACTATAAGGCGTGTAAATATATTATGCGTTCAAGAGACTAAATGGAAGGGTCAGAATGCGAAGGAGGTGGACAATACAGGTTTCAAGCTTTGGTATACAGGGACAGTCACGAATAGAAATGAAGTAGAAGTTTTGATTGATAAGGGCCTCAAGAATAGTGTGGTGGGAGTGAGAAGGCAAGGAGATAGGATTATCTTAGTCAAGCTTGTCATTGGTGATATGGTCTTGAACGTAATTAGTGCGTGTGCCCCCCCCCCAAGTAGGCCTCGACGAGAGTGCTAAGAGACAGTTCTGGAAAGACTTAGATGGCCTGATTAGAGCTGTACCTACTAGTGAGAAGCTTTTTATAGGAGGAGATCTTAATGGACATGTAGGTACTATAAGCGTAGGTTTCGATGCAGTTCATGGAGGTTTTGGTTATGGTAGTAGGAATCAAGAGGGGGAGGAAGTTCTGGACTTTGCGGTAGCTTTTGACCTGATGATAGCCAACACTTTCTTTAGAAAGAGAGAATCTCATCTAGTGACCTTCAGTAGCGGACAACACTTTAGCCAGATTGACTTTGTTCTCGCAAGAAGAAAGGACAAACGAGCATGCTTGGGTTGCAAGGTGATACTAGGAGAGTGTGTTGTTTCTCAACATAAGCTTTTGGTGGTAGACTTTCATTTTTAGGTGCGTGCTCGTAGGGATAAACAAGCTAAGATTGAAAGAATAAAGTGATGGAAACTAAAAGGGAAGACGTCAGAGGTATCCAGGGAAAGGATTATCAAAGAGGGCACTTGGAAGGAAAAAGATGACATAAACAACATGTGGGAGAAGATGGCAACCAACATTCGTAAGGTGGCCTTAGAGGTGTGTGGAGTAACCAAAGAAAGTGGAGGCGAGGCTAAAGATACTTGGTGGTGGAACGAGGAAGTCCAAAGGGCTATTAAGGAGAAGAAAGAATACTATAGTACCATGACAGGAGTGTGGACAACATAGAGAAGTACAAGGTGGCAAAGAAGACTGCAAAACGAGCTGTAAGTGTGGCAAAGGGTAGAGCGTACGAGGATCTTTACCAACTTTTGGGTACGAAGGAAGGAGAGAAGGACATTTATAGGATGGCTAGGGTTTGTGAGAGAAAGATAAGGGACTTCAACCAAGTTAAGTGTATTAAGGATGAAATGGAGCATCTCTTAGTGAAGGAGGATGAGATCCGACATCGATGGCAAGAGTATTTTGACAAATTGTTCAATGGTGAGAATACGGACACAACCTTTCAGTTGGATGACCCTTTTGATGACACCAATAGGCGCTTTGTGTGGAGAATCCAAGAATCTGAGGTCAGAGAGGCGTTGAAAAGGATGAAAGGAGGTAAGGCGATGGGACCGAATGGTATCCCAATCGAGGTGTGGAGATGCCTCTGGGATATAGCTATAGTATGGCTAATCAAGCTGTTCAACCATATTTTTCGATCGAACAAGATGCCTGACGAGTGGAGGAGAAGTATATTGGTACCGATCTACAAGAATAAAGGGGATATCAAAGTTGTACTAATTACCGGGGAATTAAGTTGATGAGCCATACTATGAAGCTATGGGAGAGAGTTATCGAGCATCGCTTGAGAGCAATAACGTGGGTCTCTATGAACCAATTTAGTTTCATGCCCGGAAGGTCAACCATGGAAGCCATTTTTTTAATAAGACAAGTTATGGAGCGGTATAGGGAGAAGAAGAAGGACCTACACATGGTTTTTATTGACTTGGAGAAGGCTTATGATAAAATACCAAGGAATGTTATGTGGTGGACTTTGGACAAACATAAAGTCCCAACGAAGTACGTCGGGCTCATTAAGGACATGTACAACAATGTTGTGACTAGTGTTCGAACAAGTGATGGAGACACGAATGACTTCCCGATTAGGATAGGGCTACATCAAAGGTTAGCTTTGAGTCCTTATCTGTTTGCCTTGGTGATGGATGAGATCACAAGGGACATACAAGGGGACATCCCTTGGTGTATGCTTTTCGCGGACGATGTAGTGCTAGTTGATGAAAGTCGGACATGAGTGAATCAGAAACTGGAGTTATGGCGGGAGCCTTTGGAGTCCAAAGGTTTTAGACTCAGTAGAACTAAAACTGAGTATATGAGATGTGACTTCGGCAGTACTACTCGGGAGGAGGAAGATATTAGTTTGGAAGGTCAAGTAGTGTCTAGGAAGGATACCTTTCGATATTTAGGATCAATGCTATAGAGAGATGGGGATATTGATGAAGATGTTAGCCATAGAATCAAAGCAGGGTGGATGAAGTGGCGCCAAGCATCTGGTGTCCTATGTGACAAAAGGGTACCATAGAAGCTAAAAGGCAAATTTTATAGAACGGCGATTAGACATGCTATGTTGTATGGTGCAGAATGTTGGTCTACGAAAAGACGACATGTTCAACAGATAAGCGTCGCGGAAATGCGTATGTTGCGTTGGATTTGCGGTCATACAAGAAGGGATCGAGTTCGGAACGATGATCTACGCGATAGATTAGGGGTAGCACCAATTGAAGAAAAGCTTGTCCAACACCGGTTGAGATGGTTTGGACATGTTCAACGGAGACCTCCAGAGGCACCGGTGCGTAGTGGAATCCTAAGCCAGGATAGTAACGTGAAGAGAGGCAGAGGAAGACCGAAGTTGACTTGGGTAGAGGCAATAAAAGGAGACTCGAAAGGATAGAATATACCCAAAGGCTTAGCCTTAGATAGGAGTGCTTGGAAAATAGCTATTCACGTGTCTGAACCTTGATTGCTTCTGCTGGGTTTCAACTCTAGCCTACCCCAACTTGTTTGGGACTTAAAGGCTTTGTTGTCGTTGTTGTTCTTACATCTTGCATGAAGTTTTCATATAGGTTATCATGCAGCGAATCTTGCAATTGTGCTGCACAGTGAATAAAGGTTTAAGTGCATCAAAATTCCATGGCTACTGAATAGCCTGTCTCCAATTTAACTTCAGTGTAGGGAATCCAGTGCTATCATATCATAAGGTAGCCATGTTCAGAACATAATAAAATATAGAAGTCACGCCAACAGTAGAATAGGCATAGCTGCTTGTGTGGTTTGGTTTCCCCCATACACATGGAGTCACTTCTGTCCTGAATTCGCCATATATAATTCTACATGATACAATGTTGGCTACCATATTGGAAAAACTAGGCATCTCTTTTACTTCATGGCTTAGTCTCCTCTTAACTCAAATATCTACAGAAGCTTAATTATGCAGACCTGGAAGAAGCTGTACAACTTGAAACAAATAGAGTACTACAGGGGCTAACACAGCTCTCAAGTATTATTATCTTTTCGATATAAGATAGGAGCAAAATATCATACAAACATTGAGAAGCTAGAGCTAGCCTAGTAGAGCTGTTCTCTTCTACCACGGAACCATCGCCACCTACAGCAAACAAAACCACAAAGCAGTGTTAAAAACCATAGAAAACAAATAGGGATAAAAGCTGGGATATATATATATATATATATATATATATATATATATATATATATATATATATATATATATATATATATATATATATATATATACTGCAAAAGAATAATTATAGTTGTGATGAATGTAGCGATACAATAGAAAACTCTCTTTTATCCTTGATAAATAACTTCATAATGATTGATGTTTTCTTTTGGTCATGGGATTGTTTATGCTCCATAAGCTTCCTTACCTTGTCCTTTTGCCTATATATTTTTACATTTTCAGTGATAAAATCAATTTTACGAGAAAGAGGTGCTAAATGGGAAAGAAGGGAGTAAACAACTGAACTATTTTGCTTAGAGTACCAGTAGTAGTCCCAGCGTGGGTTTATCTTGGACATTTGGTTTACCCCGTATGGGTACTCGGACAGAGAGCGGCGAGCGTTTCTGAAGGCGCAGCAGCCACAGGCGCAGATGCAGATGAGAGCGGCGAGCACGATGACATTGAGGACAGCGATCTTGTGCCAGTCCTGGCGGATCTGCTCCATCACACCGGCCTTGCACGAGTTGCACTGGTAGCAGAGGATGTCTGGGGCATTGTTCCACCGGTAGCAGTCCTCATCCTGCGCCCCGACAGGCATGCCTCCACTGTATTGGCACGCTGTTGGTGGCTTGCAGCAGCCAGACTGCAGGATAGTTCACAGTTGCAGCGCATTAGAGTAGTAGAAGGCAGAAGCAGCTGAAATACTGAAAATACTAGTAATAGACAATCAATTCAGGTTTTAACAGAATAGAGATTGGTTGCACTATGAATACTGAAAGAAAACAGAAGCAACAACAGAGAGAAATGAATAGGTAATAGAATAGATCAGCGGTGAGGTGCAAACCTGTATTGGCGTGAGATCATGCTGGAGGTAATCCATGGGAGTCCAGTTTTCAATCTTGGGACAGGCCTTGGACCCAACTACACAGGCGAGGGCTGGGCGCCAGTACTTGATGTCCTGCATGTGCTTCTGGAGCCATGAGGAGTAGTCAGTGATGTGGTACTCCCTGTAAGGCCTACCATACACCTGTGTGCCTCCGCCTCCTGCCGTGACTGCGAACCCGAACACGGTGAGCCCAAGAAGGAAAGCGATGAGGAGTATGATGGCGACGAGGTACAGCCACAGCGCCCAGGCGACATGGAAGCAGGCGCCCACAAAACCAGCAAGAGAGATGAGGAGCACGGCAAAGCCGATGACGAGGAGCGGCGTCTGCAGGATCGACGAGCACGTGGTCGTGGAGCCCTTGGCCAGCCAGAGCCCCGCCCCGATGATCGGAATCGAGGCAAGGAGAGTGGCCAGGTTGAGGTAGCCAATCATCACGTTGCTCATGCGGTAAGGGTACATCTTTGACGCTGTTTCTCCCTGCTGTTGATGTCTGCTCTTGATGTTGTTTTCTTGGGTGCTCTGTGCTTGGTTTATATGATGTTACTATGATTGATGATGCTGGGTCATGCTCTTGGTTTTGGCGTGTCCCAGCTCTACTGGTTTGGGTGGCGCTTCTCTGAGTGTGGTCTGGTGCAAGCGTGAGTGCTTTTCTTTTCTTCTTCCCTTGGACAGCTTTTTAATCCTGATGACTGTGCATGCGCCTCCTCAAGGGGTTTGCTTGGGTGTATTCTATGCTTGGCTTTGCTTTGTGGTGGTCTGTCTTTAATAATGCTGTGTTGGTTTTGGAAATCTTAGGCGCCTCTTGCTTTCTTTGCATCCTCACTCTTTTATTGAAGCTTTTAGCTCTTTGCACTACCATCTACCATCCTGACGTGTGTATGTTTTCTTATGGTTGCCTGCCGTGTTTTGTGCCTTTGCCCTCTAATTTTCTCTCTTTCAAATATCTTTTGCGCGTGAAATACAGTTCTGCTGCTGTTCAGTTTTTTGAAGCTTCTGTAGTTGGGAACATTATACCAAATCCGGAGCACCAAAGAAGCGTATTGTTGTATTGTCCCACGAGTGAGTTTCTGTAGTAATATGTCAAAGGGGCATCTGTTGTTCATATCCACTCGCTACAGTTTGCTTGTATCGTGGAATAAGAATAAAACATCCCTTCGATTTGAATTTGTTCCATGGGTATCGATTCTGCTCGAAAAAAAGCTGCAGAATTATGGTGGGAATTGTTGGGGATGTGTGAGCGAGGATGCCTTAGCCCCAACTTGATGCTTAATCATGAAGTAAAAAACTGAAAAGGTTTTGCAGTTCTTGGTTCTGGGCTCTCAAGGATGAGGGAGGGGAGGGGAGGGAGGGAAGATGCCCTTTGGCATGAATGAGTTCAAGTGCATGAAGCAATTCTGCTTTATGGCCGAATCATCCCAGTATTCGCTTTGCAAGTAAAGAAGGGCCCTTAGTTGTCTTGCCCAGGGCATTGGCAAATTAAAAAAGTCCGCCGTATGCGCTTGCTTTTGCTGCTTTGCTGACTGATTTCCTTCTCTCTTTTTTTGCCCTTCCAGCAGGATAAGCTCAATCAGGTGGAGGCAGCGCTTGGGATTTGTTCAGACGACGACAAATGGGGGCGCTAAGAATTTCTTTGGTGGCTTAAATAATGGCGGCTTGGTTGGTTTACGTCGGCGGTCGGCGCCCTGCCTTTTTTGGTTGCTTTTTATCTTAGGTTCTGATGTGAATGAATGTTGTAGTGCTTGGTAGACAGGAAGCGCACCAGGCGTCCGGATCCAGGAACGTCGAGCTGCTCGAGAGCTAGCTACTCTGGAGTATTCTACTCATATACTGCAATGCTGTTCCGTTTACCTTTGAGAAAACGAGGGTTTATGCTGCTAATCCTGCTATGTTGTTGTGGTTTAAGCCTCGCAGCTGTTGGTTGATGATGCTTGTTTTGAGCTCCTGGCACTGATATAATGGCCGCCTTGAGTACAAGAACGTAGTCAGCATGCTGTTTGAGCTCTGAAGCATGGCGGAGTATCATTAACATGTGGTGATGGAATCACGGAATCAGCGTATGATGAAACTGAAACCGAAGTGTGCAGTGGACGAAGGAATCGAAATCAGGGAAGTACATGTACATGCAGCGCAAAGGCCAAAGGTCCTGACGCAATGATTCACTTGTGATTGCGTTGCAGCCTGCACTGCAGGGGTGAGAAGATGACGATGAGTAGGGCCAGTGCTGCAGTGCCCAATGCTGACTCTGCTGTGACAAGGGGAGAGCCAGAAAAGGGAGAAGCTTGTCGTGTGGGAAAAAGTCGAAATGGGAAAGTGCTGCGCCACTGTACCAGCACGAAGCTTTAGAGCTCGTGAAGATCCACGGAACTACGGAAGGTCTTTTTAGTTCAGTTAATCCGTCTCCAAAGGGATTGGGCGGGATTTAGGAGCTCCATACTACCAGTTCACAGGATTATTAACTGGTTCATAATATGAATCACAGTTTTTTTTAAGCAGCTAGGCAACTAGTCCGCTGACCTAATAGCACCATTCGCCTAAATGGTCATTTAAACGGTGAATGAAGACCGTCCGCGCTGTCATAAACGGTGAATTAAACGGCTAGACCATTTAAAATATTAAAACCATTCTGGAATGCAGTTCAGATAACAACTAATGAAGATTGGTCAGTTGAGGCTCTAAGGGAGATACAACCACCAGGTCATATACCGTCAAAAATACTTCAGTACCTTCTTGATCTTATGCTGTTGGAATATATGGAAAAGGCGGAACAATCCGGTACTCAGAGGTGAGCAAATGAGCTTGAATGCAACTTTGGCGGCATGTAAATCTGAAGCTTATCTATGGGGAGCACGACTGCCACAAGAAGATCGAACCATTGCGACGATTTGGTGCTCTGTGATGTCAAAGTGAATGTAATCATATAGCACAGAAAATGTAAAATGGAATGTTTGTAAACCTATCTGGCTTTAAGAGCCAACAATCAATGAAATGCTCAGGTTGGGGATTCTCCCCCCCTCCCCCCTAAGACTTAATAAAAAAAACCCCACTGAATGGACTAAACATAATCGAGTTAATTGAACATGATTACATGAGCTTAACGGTCATTTGATTTACAATTTAGTCATTGAAAGATTATAGCTACGAGATTGCTAATTAACATCGTAGTGACAAGAGGTGGGGCAGGATTTAGTTTTTTATTTTAAGAAATATTTAATAGAATATTTATTTTTTATATAAGTAAATATGTATATTTTTTGTACACATTTAGTGCTACTATAAAAAAATGTTTAGACAATTTAACCCATTTACTCATCGTCTAAACGGCCTAAATGTTAAACAAAAGTGAACGATGACTTTTACTTGGGTGGTAGTGGCGATCGCAAATCTTGGGTCACAGTGGGATTCATTGGCTTGCAAAAAAAAAAGCAAAAACGAAAAGATACTTTTACAGTTTTAGTGCGTGTTTAGTTACACGAATTTGGAATTTGGGGCTACTGTAGCACGTTTGTTTTTATTTGGCAATTAGTGTTCAAACATAGACTAATTAGGCTCAAATCTCAACACGATTTCCTAAAATTAGTTTTTTTTTCGCTCACATTTATACTTTTACAGTTTTGACATGTGTCTTGTAGCACTTTTTAGGATTTTGGTGGAAACTTTACTTGAGACCTCAGAAGGGTTAGTTTTCAGTTTTTTTTTTGAGCGGGTTTCAGATGGAGCAGACAACAAGCCCAACAAGTCTCTCTCTCTCTCCGCGAAAGCGGAATGCAGAAAAAAAAAAGCTGATCTGATAACAGTACACCTCTGAAATGTTCTAATAGCTAGAGGGGTAAATAACCTATTGAAAATTTCTACAACACTTAGCAAAGATGTTAGACAATTAAATGGCGAAGCGAGTGTTGCGCTAGCCTACTAAAGATGCAAAACCACCTACCACAATTCTAGTTGGTATAGTCTCTAAGCACACAATGCTAGGTCACTACCACTAAGTTAGTGAGCTCTCAAAGACTAACTAAAGAGCCTCACTAACCACTAAACCCGACGCAAGCTAGCTCTCAAAACTAATTACACTAAAGAGCTTAGCTTACACACTAGGAAAGTAAATATAAGAGAGGATGGTGATGATTATACCGACGTGTCGGGGAGTGAGCCAATTACAAAATGGAGCCAATCAATCAATCACAAGATAACCAATGAAAATCCTCGGAACAAGATGACATAAGATTTTTTACCGAGGTTCACTTGCTTGCCGGCAAGCTAGTCCTCGTTGTGGTGATTCACTCACTTAGAGATTCACGTGCTAGTTGGCATCACACGCTAAACCCGCAACTGGGTGTCGCACAACCAACACAGGATGAGGATCATCCACTATAGTACCTTTTGGCGGCAACCATCAAGAGTACTGGGTGCCGCACAACCTTTGCTCGATGATGGTTACCTTTTCGGCGGCAACCAACACAAGATGATGGTTACCTTTTAGCGGCAACTGGGTGCCGCACAACCTCCGCTCGATGATCCTCGCTCCTCAATGCCATCTATCTGGCGGCAGCCATCTAGCTGGCGGCAACCATCAAGAGTAACAAGCGAATCCCACAGCGAAACACGAACACCAAGTGCCTCTAGATGCAAACACTCAAGCAATACACTTGGATTCACTCCCAATCTCACAAAGATAATATATCAATGATGGAGATGAGTGGGAGGGCTTTGGCTAAGCTCATAAGGTTGCTATGTCAATGCAAATTGGGCCGCCAAAGAGCTTAAATAAAGAGCCCCCACGAATAGAGCCGTTGGGCTCCTGCACCTCACTGTCCTCGGGCTGACCGGACGCGGCGATCGGATGTGATCAGAAGCACGCCTCAGCATCCGGTCAACCGATGTCGTCCACGTGTCACTCCCATTCAACCTCGCGTGTACAATTCCAACGGTCAAGTGACTCTGCGTGATCGCTTAAGTGATGAACGGACGCGGTGAGCCACCACCTGACACTCCCACGTCGCGTCAGATCAACGCTGATTCACGCGCCTCCAACAATCGACCGGACACGCCGATCACCTCGGCAGCCCGTGCGTCAGGTCGGTTCCAGTAAGGTTCCAGAGCCGCTTTTTGCGCGATCGGACGCATAAGGTCCACCTGACCGAACGCAGCCCTGCGTCCGCTTTGTAACACTCCGGGTGTTACGAGCTTGTTTAGCGCCAAGATTTAGACATAAGAGGAATTACCCAAACAAGTTACTCGGATTAAAAATTCAAAGCACTTGAACTTATGTTTAATATATATATATATATATATATATATCAATTTTTGGCGAATTATATTGAACAACCAGTTAAGTAGATCCTAGATGTTTTGTTTCTACGAGTTAGTATAACGTGTGAACTAGTGCATGTAATGCTTAGTGGTTGGAAATACTTAGGTTTAGGCATATTAAAATTATGACAAAAGCGCTAAAGGTTGTTAGT